AGTGTACTGTGTATATGACTAAAGGCCAAATTCTCTTCTGCCACCGAAGAGCTGACCTGGGTCAGCTTGTGAGTTAAATCTTCAGGGTCTTTTGAAGCCAGAGCTTATGCTGCTGGGTGTTTGAAGGCAGCCACAGCTAGAGAATTGACATCACAGAAATCAGCCGAAACTACCGAAGGGGCTTGCTCTGTGGACAGTGCTTTATCAGCAGGATGTTGTTCAAACGTGTTTTCATGGCCTGGGCTCTGAGAAGGTAGGGTGTCACAGCCTCTGAGGGGCTCCACCCTGCATGGCAGGCAAAGCCTTGCTTCCCTTTCACACCTGATTAGGGCAGGAGGGGAAGGAGGGACAGGACTTTGATGGCTCTTGTTCCTTTCTCCTTCAGTATATAAGAGTGTATTTTCAGAAGCATCATGGATCAGATTCGTGTGTGTATGTTTGTGGCTATGTGTGCAGATGTATGTGTGCACATCTGGAGGCCAGAGGACAGACTTGGGTGGCTTTCTTAGGAGCACCATTCATGTTGAGACAGGCTCTCCAATGGGCCCGGAGTTTACCAAGTAGGCTCGGCTGGCCAGTCAGCTTCAAGGATCTGGTCTCTGCCTCTCCATTACTGGGATTGTAAGTACATGCCACCAGGCCTGGCTTTTTCACATGGATTCTGGAGGCGTATACTCAGTTCCTCATGTTTGCATGACAGGCATTTTACTGACCAGCTCTCTCCCCAGCCCAGTTCCTAGATTTTCAAGATCAGTTTTTTAAAGCCCTAGGAATGTACCTATGTGGTAGAATCTCTTGTCTTCCACACGAGGATCTATGATAGCATAGTCATGTTGGCTATAACTGTAAATACCATCCCAGAAGACTGTTGGCTCTGAACACTTTATCATCAAGACTACAGGTCTAAGAGGAGGCTAACTATCCCCTATCTCCAAATCCTTGTCATCAAAATGGCCCCAGGAGAGTCTCCAGGCGGATGGGACGAAAAGTTGGCCTCCTTGCTGAGGTTCTTTCTTAATTTGGTCCCGGCAGAAGCAGTCGAGCCAACAGGTCCCTGCAAGCAGTGAGCCTGAGAGATGCAGGCACGGCCTGCAGCAAGCTGTCCAGCAGCCGGACCCAGGAGAGATGCTCATGTTTCTAGTACCCGCCCTGGGATTAGCCTGTCCTCGGGCAACAGCCCTGCTCTTTCTAGTCAGTCCGCTTTGTTCTCTTTCCGAAGCTTCTCAGGTGTCCTAGTGATGAACTGAGATGCTGCCGCGTGGCGAGAGTTTTGCTAATTCCTCTCTTTCAGGCCCTTTCTCAGATACCCTTCTCTGGCCAAAGTCCCCCCCCCCCCATGCCTCCCTGAATCACTATGGCCTGGGAGAACTGGGCTCTGATCTCACTCAGGCAGCCCTGGATGTGCACACAGAGTTGGGGGTGAGGGGCAGTGTACCTCTGAACTTGCTTCTTAGGCTTCTCTGTGCCCTTGTCTTTGTGGGAGGAGGGGTAGTGGGTAGAAGGATATGGTGGCTAGCTTCTCCTGCTGGACACAGCACAGATGATCCTGACTTACAATAGTTTGTCAAGTTTATGATGGAATGAGAACAAGGCATACTGAGCAGTCACTGCCTTGGAATTCTGACCTTGTCCTGGCCTAGCAGGACGTGGCATCTATATTTCTGTGATGCCGGAAGCAACGGGTGGCAGTTCTCAGTCAGCGGCACTCACTGGCAAGAGGGAAGTGATTGGTATACCAGTGTTCTGTGTGCTTGACTTCAATGCTTGAGGCTTGCACGTGCAGGATGCATTTTCAGCGTGTACTTATGATGAGTTCAGAAAGATATGGCCTCATTGGAAGTCGAGGGAAATCTGTATGTGATTTAGGAAGGCTGAATAGCACCCAGCAGAGAGGCCCAGGAATGGGCTTTCCGCAGTTCTGTGTTCTGGAAAAGGCAACAGGAGATGCATGTCTCTCTTTTCATTCACTCACTCATTCATTCATTCATTCATTCATTCATTCACATACTCATTCATCACACAGCTCCTGACTGACCACAACTACAGGCAGGAGGGCATAGAGCAGGTACCAGGTGAGTATGAGTCATAAAAGCATCCTGGCACTGCAGGAACTCAGGGCATAGGCAGGAAATGACTGTGGGCTGTAAATAAAAGCGCTATAAGGGTTCCAACTCTCCTGTGATGAGGTCACTTGAAACAGCAGGGGGCTCAGGAGAGAGGAGGCTGCGGACATTAGAGGGGAGGCCACCTGCGACCTGCCCTGAGCCCAGCTGTGGAAGGAGCATGGCAGCCAGGTGTAAAAGACTGGCCGCGGTCTATCATGATGAGCAGGACTTGTGCTTGGTAAGAAGGAAGGAGGATGGAGGTGTGTGCTACAAGGGTTGCTATTCTAGGACTGGCCAGTGGAGAGCTGAGTGGGCTCTGCAAAGGGGAAAGAGATGAATGGAAGATGTCCCCAAGGCTTAAGCAAGGACATCACACAGTTAAGTCACCTGGCATTGATGCCACCACTTCTCTACCCACATGACCTTGATCGATTTTCTCTGTGGCCCTGTGCTTCTGTTGCTTTGCCAGAAATGGGGACACCAGTGGCGTTTACCACACAGGGTACCCTGAAGCTTTAGCAGCATAAATCCACAAACAGGCTTGGTCAGGTCTCAGTAAGGGACGGTTACACTGATGGGGCTATATGGGGGCTGAGGGCCTTTGCCCGAGATGCAGGTTTCCAGAAAAGCGGCAGTTCAGTTCTGAGGAGGGTCTGTGCCCTCCCCTAAGGTCCCAAGGGGGCCTCCTGATTGAGTCCCGGGGCCTGGTGGCAGTTGTTTTAATTGATCTGGTGATATGTGGAGCTTTGTCTGTACAACTCAGGGACATGCAAGTCAAATACTGCCACATCGACCATGTCAGGAGGACGGCCGCAGGCTCCTGAGCTGCCCGGAGACCCTGATGAGGGATGGGCTGTCATCAGGCGGAGGAGTCAGAGCCTGGCTACTGGGGAGAGGACTGTGCTTGGGGAGCAGTGGAATGTCCTTGCCAGAAGGCAGTAGGATCGGAGATCTAGAACTATCTCATGGGCCTCTTAGAGACAAGCAGGGCCTCTGCTCTTCTACGTACATGCAGAACATCCCCGCCGCCCATCCTCCTGCAGGCTTGCAAGGAGTTGAAAAAAGGCTAAGCCCCTCATGGATGGCTTAGACCCCCTCCCTAGCCCCAGCCCTTTAGTACAGTACAGACTCATTGATATCCTCACCCCCAAATGCCCTTTTGCCCATAACTTCCCTCCCCACTTCAGCTCCTAATTCTGTTCTGAGCTTGAATGGCAGTCACTACCTTCCTTTCGTCCCACCCGGAGGACATCTACACACAGCAAACCTGCAGTCCTTAGTATTCTATCTCTCTATCCCTTGGCATTCTCTAAGAAACACAAGGCTTGGCTGGTGAGGGGAGAGGCTACAAGGGCCAGACAGTGACCAACCCAGCAGCAGCTTCAACGAAGGGGAGGAAGATGCAAACAGACACACAGTTCCTAGTCCCCTCAAGCTCTGTGCTGAGCACACGTAGTCTACCCAGTTGCTCTGAGGTTCCAGCAAGATGGTGCCTAGCAGGAGTTCTTAGTGCCTCTCCACAACCTACGAGCCCTCCTGGTTTTCTTTCTTTCCTATTCTGGCCTCCCTGCATCTCAGGGTGCTGCTTCCTGGGGTCTTCCCCTAAATAACCTTTCATACCCTCATCTTTGTCTGAACTAGGGTTCCCCTCCACCAACCGAGACACCTTTCCTGAACTCTGAGGGTGTCTTCTCCATGTGGTGATACTCTGTGGAGACAGGGTGTGTTTCCCTCTCCACTCCCTCCCTCTTTACTCTGTGGTCACCTGTCATCTGCAGGGTGGGACCTGCACCTTTGTCCTTCAAGTGCCTCCTCATCTTTCTCAGGGTCTAACACAACAGCCAGAGGCTTTTGAGACGCCCGTTAAGTAAATGCTTGCACACACACACACACACACACACACACACACACATACACACACACACACTGTTTGCTTTAAGAAGCTAATTCCAATTCAGACTTTGATATTTACATGACAAATCAGACAACACACAAATACCCTCAGGGCTATCAGCAATAAAGATGCCCAGCCAGGAGGATCCCAGTTCTTGCAGCCCCTCACCCCTATCAAGCAGTGATTGGTCATTACCAGCTGAAGATAAGTTGCCCTGACCCTCCTGTATTCAGAAAGGCTGCCAGTGACTGTGGGTAAGTGGCTGAAGAGAAGCCCCGCTAGTCCCTGGTGGCCAAGGGACTTGTTCTATAGAAACCGAGTAACATATCTCTACACCAAACAGGCATCTGCTGGAGAGCGTGGCTAGCATTGGGGAAAGAGCGCTGCCCCAGTGGTCACTAGGAAACAGGAGTGGGCAGAGTGAGGTGGGGATGATCAGCGGAGAGAACCCTGTTAGGTGCAGTCACTCTTATCCTCGTCTGTTTTAAATATCAATTGCTATGCAGGTTAAATACTTATTCAGATGCCTTTTAGCTTAAAAGCAAGCTAATTGATCTCTGGAGATGGAGAATGAACAGTGAAGAAACTACACTAATTAAAGAATCAACTTCCACTCTCTGTTTTATTTTGTTCTTTTCTGACAATGCTGCTGGAGCGACAGAAATGGGCCTGGGGGAGCAAAACACACATGCTGTTTTTACTACTTGATATCCAAACACGCTCCCCCTCCTCCAACGGGGTTTCTGATTGGGAGGAGCTCCACCCCCAGGAGCTCTCTTGCAAACCGTTCCCATGCAGTATGATGCTACAAATGTCAGCGCAGTTGTTCTGAGTCAGGATCCACCAACGTTCCCTGCCCTCTGCCCTCCGCCCTCCAGTCCCCACCTACTCATGGGGGAGGGGCTTGCCTGAGAGGCCAATGAACTCAGTGTTGCTTGGGCGGGGGCGGAGCTTCCGGTCCTTTATATGGAAGTAAGAAATAAACATTCACAAGTGTGAAACTGTCCGAGTTGTGCTATGATGCTCCAAGCATCTCAGAGTTTGAAGCCGTCAGATCTCGCACTTAGAGATGCTCTGTGACAATTCAAGCGAGGATTTCGAAATCACGAGGCGCTCAGATCTGACACACTGCTTGTCCCAAATATCTTGGATAATGGGCACTCAACCTATAAGGTACAAAGGGCGCATCTCTTCTTCTGTTCTCCTGAGGTCTGGAGAGACCTCAGGGTCCATTGGGTTTCTCTTCTCATCCTATCCCAGACTCTTATGCCACCTGCATACCCTGCAGGGCAGAGATCGAGCGACTCTGGCTTGCTGATGGAACTGCAGCCCCGGAAGCTACAGAGGAGCGGGCTCCTCGGGGCCTTTGCTCTGTTCACTGTGCAGTGAAACTCTAAGACGGGGGTCGGCAACCCTGGCACACCAACTTGACAACCGCGGAAACCCTTCCTGGCAGATCATTTTGCCAGAAACGCGCTTTGGGAATCGCTATGTTCCAGTGATTTGGGCATAAGTTTTCCTTCCCCTTGCTTCCGCGCCAAGGGGCACTTTAAATCTAGGGCTATATTTTCCACGTCTCAGTCTGCTCCATGCACCCCGTGCTCAGCCCCCGAGCACTACAGAGGAACATGACAGATTGCAGAAAAGATGAAGTAAGGGGTCTACTTGTCCCCAGGGGGTCCTAGAGAGACAGGTCCTTCTCTCTCCTGGGCTGATTTCCGGAGCCAGGAGGCTGGTGGCTTTAAATACAGCCTTAGAGGGATGCGAGCTCATGCGGCTCTCATTAGTGTGTCGCTGTGTGTGCACACCTAGGCAGGTGTGGGCACACGTCTTGCCGAGGTGTAAGCCCAGCAGGGAGGAGAGCGTGGGGAGCCAATTCATCAGCCTCATGCTTTGTGCCTTTCTCCCCAGGGCCCTTGTCTGAAATAAGAGACTCTGACTTAATTATGATCATTAGCAAATGGGGCTTCTTGAGTCTTCACCAGCTTGCGGCTGTTGGAAGGAATCCCCAGCGACCTTGTCGTCCACCCATGCCAGTGATAGAGATGTTCAACCATTCGGCTCACCTCTCACTGAACACTCAGCGAGGCCAAGACCGTGTGTTGGGCACCTGAGCCACAGCTGTGAACGTGGCGAGCGTTGAGGACACGTCCACTCCACACCTCTTGCTTTTTCCCCTACTCTATAACGTATTTCACAGATAATTGCTCGTAAACATTTCTATTACGCTACTTTCTTGACTGTGTGTGTGCACACCATAACACACGTGTGGAGGCCAGAGGGCAGCTTGGGGGAGTCAGATCTGTTCTTCCACAGGTATGTGTCACAGGGGTCAAACTCAGGTCCTCAAGCTGTGTGATAAGAGCCTTACCTGCTTTGTCATCTTTCCAGCCCCCCCCCCCAGTTCATGATAATAGAAAAGATCTGTTTGTTCCTTTGTTCTGTCTGTCTGTCTATCTATCCTCCACCTTGCACAACAGAATATAAACTCCATCAGTCTATGTGTCTGGTCTATCCACAATACACAACACAGAGGGTTCATTCCATAAACACTTCTTAAATATATATATATGAATATGCACGAAACATATGAATCTGTATAGGCAGGCATGCCATGGCTAGCCAGCAAATCTCCAGGAAGGTAAGAAATGGACAGCGGTTTTGAATCAGAGCTTTTGTCTCAAGGTGACAGAAGGGAACACTGTACAAGGTTAAGACTATAATCCAGGTCTTTAAGCAATGAGATGGGATGGGGCATCCACAGAACTATCAAGATCAGAAAGCTGAACTCCTTTAACCCAAAGCCAGAGAGATCCCTAAACTTCCCTCATCATGGCCACTCAGAGAGCCCAAGGCTGTTTACGACAGGGAGGGCAGCAGGTGCATCTGCAGGACTGCAGCTAAGTTGCGACCTCCAAATTTGCATGGGCCGTCAGCAGCAACAGAGAAAATGGATTCGTTCTGAATTTTTAAATTTGAGGTTTACAGGCGCAGTCCCCTAAAACCTGCACGTTGAACAAATGCAAAGGCTGGGATTCCTGCATCTCCATCTGGCAGAGGTTGAGCAGGGAGACTCTCCCCAAGGCTACACTAGAGCCAGCAAAACAGAATCGTCAGTAGCACCCACTGGGCCCGCCTTCCGAATCACTGCCATCATGATTTCATGTAGTCCTCATGACAACCCTGTGTGGTGGGTTCTACCATGTGTCACTGCTTGCAGAGGAAGGGAAGAAGGCTCAGCAAAGCCAGCGATCTGCACGGAATCCCAAGGCTCTGCAGATCCGTGGGTGATGAAAGACCATCCCAGGACCCGGTGAGCTATTCCTAAGCCCCACTGAGGAAGGCTGACCCCTGGAAGTCAGGCCTGCAGCACATGGTCCTAGAACTTCAGGTTCTCTCCAGAGGCTGCTCTGAGTCTATCCTTTCTACGGTACGTGGCATGTGGCTCTCATTCCAGTCATTTCCAGTGAATTCTTTCATAGCCTCGCTGGGTTACGAGTAACAGCAGCTAAACCTATTTTCCCAGTCGAAGCAATTGAGCCATGAGACTACGACAGAGGCAGACCTTTCCCCAGAAGGACAGGCTGGGTGACAGCCTCCTGCAGAATGTGACTTTTCCATGTTTGGGTGGTCCCTGGTCCAGTTTCCCGTCTCCCACACAGGTATGGCTTTCCATGGGAGGCTGCGACCTCTGGGCTGTGGCTGAGGGACAGGCTCTAACGAGGGGCAGGGTCTCTGAACTACAGGGTACACTCAGGTCCTCCACGGTGTCACCAACACACTTCTACAATCAAATGCCCGACCTGCTTCCCAGACCTACTCTGCCCTTGGGCCTCCCATCCAGGGACATCCATGACCTTCCACAGTCCAGCTGGAAAGCAGGGTCATTCTCATCCTCTCCGTCCCTTGCTTTGTGATCTGCCCTGCCACCTGCAAGGTTCCCACTCTACCCTCCCTGCTCCAGCTTCCCCTTGCTCTCTCCCTCCCGGCTCTTCCCAGAGGACTGGGGGCTTCACAAATCTAGCTGCCACCCCCACTCCGCCTTACTCCCCTTCAGCCTCCTCATGCAGTGTGTGATTTAGTCACACCAGAGTTTTGCTCAGCCTGGCTAAGGGCTGTCACTTCCTCATGACCTTGCTCTGGTTTATTCGTAGTGACAACATATCGGAGCACTTTTCCCGTATCGGATATCATGCCAGATGCCTCACACGCATCGTCTTGCTTAATCTGGGCCATGTCCCTAAGTATTAGACACTAGTTGACATGTCAGAAGAGGCTGAGGTTCCAACGAAGCTGTAACCCGCTCATGGCTCACACCTAGAAGCCAGAGGTGCCAAGTGTCTCCGTCCCCTAGATGCCACTTACTGGTGGTTAATGGCCTTGTGTGTTTGCCCCATGGCTCTGCCCGTGTCAGTCCCCACACTTGACAGTAAAGTCCTCAAGGAATGAACTGCTCACTCCAGAACCAGGAGCGAGTGAACAGTCCTGTGTGGTGATTCAGTCTGTAACTTACCTTAATGACAACAGAAAAGTCACCAAATGCCCGCTATACCACCCTATTCTAAGCATGGGAAATGTAACTTGGAGCTAAGTGAGCCAGTCCCTCCTTTCAAGATGGCATCCTCTTGTGCCAGGAGCTAGGAGGAGAGTGTGCAAGGGGAGGCTCTGGAGAGAGTCAGAGAGACTCGACACAGCACACGTATCCAGTCCCTCGGCACTCCAGGCAGTAGGCAAATGGGTGCGTGTTTCTGCCCACCGCACACTGCTCACAGCCTAACCAGGCAGGGAGCGGGTAGTAAAATACAGCAATCACCAACAACAGGATGGCTCCTCTGCTGCGGATCCCATACTCTGAGGCAGAGGACGGAGACAAGGTTCCAAGAGTTTCCTCAGATGACAGGATGTAGGCAAGGCCTTTAAGGGCAAGAAGTGGACAGAGCAGGAGAGAAACTGCCCAGCAGGCAGGGGGAGCAAGGAGGGAGCGCACTGTAGCTGGGTGTGAAAATCATGCCCTGCCTAGTCATCTCTCCTCGGACAAATCCTTTCTGTCTCTGGAACCTCAGCTCCCTCCTGCGGTGTGGCCATGCTGTCTGAGAGCCAGCTCACTGCAATGGTACCTTTCCTCTAAGGGGTGCTGGCTCTGCACGTGAGCACAAGAGGAAGTGGGAGTATTTCAAAGAGAGTTGTGGCCTCTCAGACCCTTCCCGCAGCCAGGGCATCTGAAGGTCTTCAGAAGAGCATATGGTGCAGGAGAAATGAGGTGGCACCCCTCCCGGCTGGGCAGCAGACTGCAGCCACCTGTGCTGAGTGGGTGACCTGGGGTTCCCAGTCCTCACAGCAGGGTATGTCCCATCTCGGCCTCTTCGTGGAGCGAAGTAGCTGCAACCGACACATCTCCGAGGCCAGGATTCTCACCAGGCATCCTCCAGAAGCTCACCCTGCCTGGCTTCTCTGTTTCATGCCTCATTTTCCCCGGAAGGACCAGAACATAGTGGCCTGGCACTTGGCTGTTTTGCATCCCAGCGACTCACCGGCTGTTACTTATCCCCTATGTGAGCTAATTTTTACACCTGTGAAATTCACCTTCCAAGACTGCTGGGCAGGGTAAAAGACAATGTCTGTGTGCCTGACACAGAATGGCTGCACCTTGCCAGCTGCAGGCTCTCATTCCTTTCCAACCTACACGCGAGGCTCCCAATAAGGCTGGTCTCTAAATTCGCAAGTCCTGGATTCAACTATCTTCTGTCTATGTCTGATGCCAGAAGACACCAACTGCCCCGGGTTAGACATCAGGTAAATCCTGACCTCCTGTGTCCATGCAGATTTAGCCGAAGAACATCTTGGTACCGCCTCCCTAGTGCACCAGCTCCCCTGATCCAGCCCCAGTTCTTACCACCGGAGGATGCTGCCCCAGCTCTCTGTGCTCCTCTGGAAATCAGCCACTCTACACTGTACCATTCCCCGTGCCCGCCCACGCCTGGCTTTTGCTCCAGCCACCGGCCTCATGCTAGCTGCCTGGTAATGGTTGGGGAAGTGAGCTGATGGGCAAAAAAAGAGGCTCCATTGCTCTCTGGGACCAATTTGTGAGTTTTCAGCGGCAGTTCTCGCTCTCAGTTTCTGCTTCGTCCTTGCCTGCCTGCTGCTCTGCTCGCATATCCTGGCTGTTAAGAATCAGAAGGAGGTAGGAGAGGTGGGGATCACCCTCCACCAGGAAGTTGGCAAGGGAAAGTGATTCTTGTTTAGAGGTGGACTGGGCGGGGGCAGCCGGTAGAGGAATGGAGGGCCTGAGAGATGACCGGTTCCATGTGGGATCCAGAGACAGAATCCACTTCATCTGTTGCCTTTGCTTCCTTTGGAGCACAGGCTACAGATAAATGGGGCAGGTTTGGAAGCCCAGCTCTGTCCCTGCCTGCTGATCACAGACCAGTGGAGTGGCCAACCAAGGAGTCCTCTGCCACCTGCAAGCTATGTGAGCCTCATCATCCTTAACTGGAGACGGAGGAGGCAATCTTGAGAGGCCGTGATCACCCTCGAGAGCTCTCAGAGGACTATCTTTTGACCTCCCCACCACGGCTTGACCTCACCGAGCTGTGTCTCCGACCACAGGGTTCCACGAGGATCTAATGAGATGCCGCCATCGGCAGAGCGCCCGGTGCACAGAACCCTTGATGAACCGCAGCAATGCTATTTTCATTTCCATACTCCACTGATCCCGCATCACACTCTTTTTTTTTTCAATTTTAACATCCCTGAAATCGAGATGGGTCTTGCAATAGATGATAAGAAGGCACCGTGTCATAGTTTAATTGGTGGCATTTTTTTCCCTTAGGGAAGTAACATGAAAGTCTGAGCTTACAGCCGACAACGTCTCGGGCTTGAGGAAACCAAAACAGCCCCCAGGCAGGAGGAGTAGCTCCCACAGAGGACCTGGCCTGTTGTGTCCTGAGTATATTGTACCCACCAGGGACCTTGTCCAGGACAAGTCCTCCGCTCACTTCAGGGACACTGGAAACCTTTAGAGAGAAGCTTGCTTCCACTCGCACATATCCCCCGGGCCTCATGACCATAGAACCAGATTGTGGAATATGGCAATGCCATGCGGGCTGAGGCCCAGCCCAGCAGTCCCCAGCTGTTTGGTGGGAAAGTGGATTTAGCAGTGGAAGGGGAATCCCCCAAATCCCTAGAGCTTTGTTGCATCATAGCTTCTGGGGAAAGTTAGCAAGGAGTACCCTAGGAGAGAAGAGGTGAAGGAGGTTGAGGATGTCCATCCACTCTTTAACCGAGCATCTTCTTAACCACCCCCACCCTCCCTGCGACAGTTCTCTGTTGCCACAGTTGCTTCAACGCCCCCTTGACGAATCCTTTCCCTGAATACCCCTTGACCCAGGAACTAAATGGCCAGTGTGTCAGGCCATGTGAGTGGAGCGTGGGCTACTCGAGGCTCCTGCCCTCTGAACTTGTGGGTTACACGTACTGAATACAATCCTTGGTTCACAAAAGTCACTCAGACTTGCAGCCCTTCTGGGATGGATCTCAAAGATGTAGGACCAACAGTGTTTTATCAAGGAAGGAACCCTTCCTAGATTGATGTGGGATTCCCCTCTGTACGCTATGAATGTGTTTTATTACCATTGGTTATTAAAGAAGCTGTTTCAGCCAATGGCTTGGTAAAGCCAGGTGGGAAATCCAAACAGAGCTATAGAGAGAAAGTAGGCGAAGTCAAAGGATGCCATATCCTTGCTGAAGGAGAAAGACGTGAGCCACCAGCCAGAACCTTACCGGTAGGCCACAACCTCATGGTGATTCACAGATTAATAGAAATGGGTTAATTTAAGATGTAAGAGTTAGCTAGAAATATGCATAAGCTATTGGCCAAACAGTGTTGTAATTAATATAGTTTCTGTGTGATTATTCGGGTCTGAGCAGCCAGGAAATGAACGAGCAGTCTCCGCCTACACTAGATCAAGCCAAAATGGCCTTTCTTCCTGAACCTTCCCAGTAGTCAGAGGTCAACAAGGATTCAGGTGAGCTATGTGGCCAAGGTCCAGCAACATAAAATACTAGAGCTCAGATCTACCCTTGCAGCTAGCTCCTCCCCCAGCTGCTCCCCCTCCTTGAGCTGTGAGAAGTCTTCCATCTTCTCTCCTAAGCCACAATCCTCAACAAAGCAGATATCAAAGGCTCAGGTGGGAGGCAGCATAGTCAGAGCCCCAGGGTGGAGAGAAGCCAGGCTTATAAGCAGCAGCCTGGGAGCCCACGTGGCATCCCTGGCCCTTACCCTTGCTCTGAGAAGCCATTAACTATGCAACATCTCATTTTGTTCCTGGGTAGCCAAGGGCTCCAAGTCACAGGAGGTGACATTGCTCTCCAACAGGTAAGTTGTTCAACAGATGGGCAGTCGGGTGGCAAAGAAATACATTATTAATGTTTCTGGTTAAATTAACTGATTAAAACCACCCCAGGTAAAAACGTACATATCAGCGCTTTGCCCACAGCAAATGAGGAATTAATGGAATATGGCTGTTTCTCTGTAATGAGACACAGACAGGGGCTGTCTGGAAAAGTTTGCTCTCTTTAGCTCAGCAGCAGGGGGTTGGGGGCAGGAGGCCGGGATCCATCCGTCTGTTAAAGGGACCTCTGCTAGACTAGCTCTGGGCAGGGCAGGGAAGAGCGGCCCAAGAGCTTCTTCGAGCCTGACAGAGATCCTTTCAAAGCTTCTTGCTTTGCTGGAGGCCTAGAGGGGGCTTGAAGCAGGTGCCCACTAGCAAGAGCCTGGATCAGGTACGAAAGGGTGCCTGTGGAGAGCCATTACAGTGAGGCCTGGCATGTCCCTCCCTGGTGACTTAAAAATCAGTCTGCTCAGCAGGCCTCACTTTCCTTATCTGCAAAAAGGAAAAGAGACTACGATCATCTTGAATGTTCTCTTAACTCTCGCCACCGCAACTAGCTTCTAGGTTAGTACCCGGTGTTTGTCCTGTCCTCACACTCTGGCTAACACTAGCGGCAGCTGAGCCCCATGGGAGATGAATGTACCCACACATCTTCCCTTGCATGGCTCTGCGGAAGTCTCTCTCTAAACACAAGCAAAGGAAGACACTCATGTGAGCCTAGCTGTTGAACACACATTCCTATGCTCTAACTGATTCTCCCAGGCCCACATACAAGCACAAGCAAGGCTGTGCACAGACACACACCTCAGAGTCCCCCCCGAGCTGAGTACAAAGGTGATGCTCCATGGTTCAAGGATAAGAGGATGGCACGCTCAAGTGAGGGCACTTGAGAGACAGCGCTAGGACTGAGAAGCACAGGGAGGAAGCTGCTAACACGGCAGACTAAGGGCCAGTTTTCTCCTCAGTAAGATCAGTTCTATGCCAAGGTTTCAGGAGCTCGGGGAAGCTGTGACCCAATTCCAGCAAGAGTGAGATTTTGCATTCATTAGCCAGGCATTCATATCCTAACCAAGGCTTTCCTTGATCCAGAGACCAGCGGTGGCTAGAGTCCCACAGGCCCAGAGGACCTGCCCATGCTGGGTGCGAATGCAGGGGCAGAGGCCTGGCTGCTCTGGCAGCTCCTGCCCCATCCCCAGGAGTAGGTGGTAGATGCTGATTCTGAGGGCAAAGAGGGATTGGCTAAGAAAAGCTGTTTTTCTCTGGCTACTAAGTCAGCTGGCTGGGAGGAGAGGAGGGGAGGGAATGTTGAATCCCGCGACCCTATCATAGGCCTTTCTGGCCCGGGGTTCCACGTGAGAGAACAGGGAGGGCGGCACCAGCTGATAGCCGCCTAACAGCTCCCTGCCGGCAAGGGGGCCTGCTAGGGGGTCAGCGGCGGCAGGCGAGGCAGTATCATTAGCTGTTTACCCTGAGAAAGTTCACACATTCGGAGGCCGCGCTCTGAGCTGTCAAAAACACAGCATGCAGGGCTGGCAGCTCTGCCAACTGAGCTCCCCAGGGCCCAGCAAAGCAAATATTTAGCAGGCGCCTGGCTCTCCAATGCACACGCGCACACCTATTCGCAGGGGGCAGACATGCCAGCACACAGCCTCAGGTTATGGAGTAGGGTTACTAGCCAGATACGCAGGTCCTAGGGGCACAAGTGCCAGGGCACACAAATGGGCACACACTCGCAGGCTAATAGCCTGCTGCCTCACATATGAGGCAGTCATTATGCGTCAGAATCCTCTCCAAGAGCACACCAACACACATCTGCTCACTCAGACACATGTATGCCGATGTTCACAGGCATAGACTTAGACTCACGCACGTGTGAATTCACTGAAGTATTCTCACAGGCACATGTTCCCGTCCCTGCACCACAAGCCCACAGAGTCTGCTCCCTAGCTCTCCCTCCCAGCATCTGGACTCTCTGTCCACTCTCCCAAACACGTCCTTGGAGCCCTTCTGGAAGCTATCTAGCCTCTGGTCAGACTACCTTAGCTGACGCCTTATGACAACTCCTGGCAACCACAGAGAGGGAGATGCCAATGGGGAGGAGGTCCAGATGGTGCGGGAAGCCCCAGATGTTGTGTGGCAACAAACAAGCCTGCTAAAATAGAACTTGGCTCCATCTTGGCCCTGCAGAGTGCCCCTTCCACAGGCTGGGGCTTTGCTGTCACAGCGCAGGCAGGGTGGCACTGTCAGAAGCAAGTCCAGCCAAGGGAGGGTTCAGCTCTGGGATCTGAATTTCTTAAGAGCCTTGGTTGCTCGGATAAGGCTCTCTGGAGCACTTGGGTCCTGGCAGCCCTGAGGAAGTGAGGGTGTTCAGTGCTGAGGTGGGCATCTGGGAGAGGACTCCTGAGCAACCCTCCATGCCCTCAGCCCCCACTGGCCTGGCCATGTATGTATCTATGCCAGGTCTGCAGCCTCCCAGCAAATGCGGAACCCCCAACCCTCAGGAATCTCACTTCAGGTCCACCACTGCACTGATTTTCAAGGTCACTGTCTCCTAGTTGCCAAGGTCACTCAAGATTAATGCTCTACCCACATCAGTTTTGCATTAATTTTTCAAGGTCTCTGCCCTCTGGCACCCTAAGACATGGCACGTGGATCTCAGAAGTCGTCAGCTAGAAATCCTCAAGACCATTTTCTGATGACCTCTAAGGTCACAGTGACTCTCAGATTCCTGGGGCCCTATTTCTCCTTTAAGAAGGCTCTCCCTGCCTTCTGCCCCTTGCCCCCTATTTGGTGGTCTTGACAAGGCAGCAAACCTCCCCTCGGAGCAAATGTCATAACCATTCTGTCAGCATCAGAGAGCACACAGAGATGGAAAAGAAACAGGGAAGAGATGATTGGCGAGGAGAAGGCCCAGGCTTCAGGGCCTAGAAGACTGTGGCGGTTCACACAACGTGCACACGTGCACACGTGCACACACCAGGGTTTCCCTGTATCCCTCTCTTCCTTCTTCCCTTCCTCCTTCGCCCTCCTTCCTCATCCTCTCTTTCCCTCCCTTCTTTTCCTTCTCCTGTCTCTTCCGCATCACCTCTTCTCTCAATCCCTTCCTCCCTCCTCCTCCTCCTTCTCTCTTCCTCCCTCTCCTTACCCCTGCCTCGCTCTTTCCTCCCCCATCTCTACATTGTCTCTAGGGCCATGAACACAGCTACAGCTTAGACTTCCAGGATTTTATACTCAACTCACCTTTTTGATCTCCAGAAAAGATCCTGGCCCTCCCTCTGATCAGATAGGTCCAGGTGGCTCTGTGTGTTCTCCTGGGGAGGGGGGTGGCATGAAGAAGTGCCAGCGACCCCCTCCTGAGAGGAATTGTAGACTTCACTGAGGCAGAGGAGGAAACTCCTTCTGCGAGCCCAGTAGACACATCCCTGTTCCCCAGGCACTGCCTGAATTGCTAAGCAAGGAAAACATACACAAATAAAGTGTTGTGTCTTGACATTTGATAATTTAAATCCAGCGCGGAAGGGCACCTGCTTAATTGCACACGGAGGGAGCAGCAGAGGAACAGCGAGACAGACTCCAGGGGAGGCGAAGACCCCTGCCCGAGAGCGCTAACAGCTATGCAGCCCAGGGCATACAGCCAGCCAGATTCATCTTTTGAGGTTAAATTAAAGCCTGAGTTTCAGTTTTGACTCAGCCTAATTCTTCTAGCTTCCTCGGTCTACCTCCGAAAACTGGGGCTGTAAGTGGTAAAGATGCATTGAATAGCAAATGCAATTCAACAAATATTATGACACACCGTTCATCACGAGCCCTAAATATTTAACGGTCCAACTTTATGGGGCTTTTCATTTTGTTTTATTTTCACTTTCGCTAGATGCGATGAATTCCACACTAACAGGCCCCGTGCAGAGGCGCCACCATGCCCTACTTTGCAGGAGGAACAAAGTGAATCCGGTTCAGATGATTGTGACCTCCGGGATCTTTTCAGCCTTATCTTGGCTCTGCCCAGCTGGCTTCCCAGGGGGAAAAAATAATAATAAAAGTGAGATAGAAGGAGAGAAAGGGGAAGGGGGAGGCAGGAACACAGAGGGTCGCAAAGCCTCCCCTGGCCAATTCATTTCTGTTTAATCCGCCTGCGCGCTGGGCAGAGCTCCTTTGTGGTGGCTGAGACCAAAGGTCGGTAATGGATTTCAACAGGTTCCAAGAGCTGTTGACTGCGCACAGCTGTGGGGGGAGAGTGTGAAGCCCCCCCCCGATAGATAGGGGGAGGGAGATAATTGGAGACCCCCCCCCCAAGCCCCACTTTGCCCTCCCGATTCCCTGATTTCACAGATGCGAGAAGAAAATAGGCTGTCCGGATTTCTGTCTGGCCTCCTTCAGGTCTGCTGGTCCGTGGCCTTCTGTGAGGTTTAAAGAAAAGAAGTGGGAGGGAGTGGGGTGCCTCCCATCTAGCCTTCCCCAAGGGACCTACCTGGGAGCTGGGAAGGCCCTGGGGCCATCCACAGGGCTCTTTCAAGGCTGTGGCTCAGTGAAGAAAACAGGAGGGCTCCCTCACTGAGAGGTGGGTGGAGGAGTGAAGGGGCCGACAGAGGTGAGAGCTGTGGAGGCAGACTCTCATTGAAATTTCTCAGCTGGCCACTGCCATCCTGGGTGCGCAAAGCAGCTGTAGTCGGAAGGATTCCTGCCATGATAGGCCAGCCATAGCCACGGCTGCCTGGAGATCTAGCCTCGGGATTCATGCAGACTCCGTGTCACCATTGATACCTTTCCCCGCAGGTCGTCTCGGTAAACAGAAACGAGTGTGGGGCAGTGTGCCAGACTGGCATGGACAGAAGAGCAACGTCACAGAGGCCTTGGTTTTGGATTCAGCCCCTGCTGACTACCTATGACACAGGGCCAGGAGCAGCACTCTGTCTGACGTGTGTACGTGTGGCTTGGCACATCCCAGCCATAAAGGCTGCACTAGACCTGAGCCTGGCTGCGTCTGCTCTCAAAAGCCCAGAATTCACCCTAGTCAAAATAGCACTCCCCCAAATCTACCTTCTCCAACGTCATCCTCCGTCAACCCCTAAAACACCTGCAGATCTGACCACGCGGGGGACAAGGACACGTCAGGCTGCGGATCAGGCATGGTGGGAACGGATCTGTTGTGCCAGTAGAGTAGCGCAAAAACTTTGTGGAACAGGCCCTTGTGACCTCTGAACTCTTGATCCTCCTGTGTCCTGGTTTATGCAATGCTGGGGGTAGCTCTCAGGACTTCATGCATGCCAGGCAAGCACTCTACCAACGAAAACTACAGCCCCAGCCTACCCTTCTCATTTTCTTTAGAAAGCTAGCTAAAATGAATGCCTATTACTCACAATTACAATAAGCCCGACTAGTCTGGATAGAATATCACTTTCCTAAAAGGTTTTTACTTTGCGTGTGTGAATGTTTGGCTGCAGATTCACCACCGGCATGCCACACCAGTGGAAGTCAGAAGAGAGTGTTGGAAACCCCGGAACTGGAATTACAGCCCATTGTGAGCTACCATGTAGGTGCTGGGAAGGAAACCCAGGTTCCCTGCAGGGGTAGAAAGTCCTCTAACCACTGACCCATCCTATCATCCCCCTTATTATAGCTGTTGTTTGTCGCTGCTGTGGGTAGGGCTCACAGCCCTGTATATGCAGCCACAGACATCGTATTGTATCGGAAAGCGACCAGAATCTCTATGATACATACGTGGATTTTTCTCAGATACCTCGTTTTCAGTGGCAGAGCTATGGCTAGAGTCTAGTCTCTCTTTGGCAGACATTTTTTCTGGCCAACGCTAAAAAGGAATCTCTTGAATGAATGAATGAATGACTGCATGCATTCATCGAATTGTTCCATTTTCCTGGGCGACTCTGCCATCACCATCCAAAGGAACATTAGAAGCCAGGAGCTTTCTCTTTCAGAACTGGCCCCTTGAGACTCACCTGCCTCTCCTTGCACGAGCTGCTACAAGGATCACAGAATCTGCTGCTGCGGGCTGGGAAAGAAAACCCTGCCTACCTCCCAGGGAGGCCTGCTAGCCCCGTGTCTGTGGGTTGGCCTAAATGGACACAGCTGATTGCTAGGAACTATCGACGCCTTAGTCCTGGTCCAGGACTGAGTCTCGCCACCATGGGCCTATTTTAGTGGCGTCTCCCTTTCCCTCCTGACTGTTGGAACTCAGTGTCTCCTGAGTTTTGTAGCAACATGCTCTATCTCCGCAAAGTAAATTTGTCAAGCTATCTTGGCAGGCGCAAGATGACTCTTGATAAATGCCGAATCAACAGGGAAACCCAGCAAGGTGGGGCAGTGCGAAACAGTGGAAGCACCTTCTTCAGGGTAACTCCATCTCAGCCTGCTGCCCCCTGGGGAGTAGACTGCTGGGTCAGCCTCCGTCCCATTCCTCCAGCCCTTGTCTCTATGGTCTCCTCACTCTGCTCTTCACCGTGAATCTGACTTGTTTCATTCCTGCCACTTAAGATATTTTGCATTTAGACATGCATTTATTTACCTGCCTCCGAATGAGTAGCCACTATTTTGTTGTTGATTTTGCAGGGCCAGAGATGGGAGGCGAGCACTCTACGGAATGCTCTCCATTCTTGTGCTCCTATGGTGCTAGAACTCAGTAAATGGACTGTCCTTGTCTGGGTAGGGCGTCTAACCCCGGCCATAGTGCTGGAGAGCTGAGACCTTTCTGGGAGAGTCCATCTTCCTGACCACGTCCAGTGAGCCCTTCCCCAGCCTGCTCCATTGGCTGCCCCAAGTGTCCCCTCTGTCTGGCTCCCAGCTGCTGTGCCTCTGGCATCTGGCATGGAGCTCTGTCTGGTTGGGGCTGACCTCCAGCCTGCCCCTTGCTAGCCCCACTTCTCAGGTGTGGATTGCCCATTGCATCTCTGTCCACTCTGGCCTTCGTTGGGTCTTCCCAGATGCTCTGCTTTGCCTCAACCTTCTGCCTGATTTTCTGTCCATCCATGTCCTATACAGTTCCCTGATTCATGATCCTTCTCTGCTCTTGATAATTGTTATGACAACTTAGGCTTGGCATCTCCCCTTTCCTGAGTTGTCTTATTCTCTCTTGGGCTTCCTGGAGGATCAGCTGGCCTTTCAGCTTGCTCCTCCTTTGCTCTCTAGGCTTGGCAGTGAATTCTGTTGACAATTGTTTCTGCTGATGGTTCTAAACTCCAACTTGGCCAGTCTTAGTTTCCACTTATATTTATTATTATTATGATGATGATGTTGATTATGAGTGTGTGTGTGTGTGTGTGTGTGTGTGTGTGTGTGTGTGTGTGTGCGCGTGTGTGTACAAGTGTCCTTAGAGTCCAGGGAAGTTAGATCTCTTTGGAATCCGGAGTTACGGATGGTTGTGAGTGACCTGGTGTTGATGCTGAGGAACAAACTCGTGTCCTCTGGAAGGACAGAACAAGCTCTTAACTGTAGAGCCGGCTCTCCAGGCCTGGGGATGTGAGGCAGTATCTGTGTACCCACCAGAGACTCTCCGGCACAGCATCTATCCCACAAATATCAACTGTGAATGCGCATGCTCAGATCACGGTGACGGGGAGGCATGGAAAACCCCAGATCACTGCTCACCCTGATAACCAAGCATGCCAAAGCAGATTGAACACGACCGGATCCTGTTACAACAGCCTCGCTATGCGGAGCCCATTTGCCATTCACGCTGCGGTCTGTTCCAGTCTGCTTCCATCCCAGATAGCATCCTTTTCTTCTTTTCTCTATGAAGAGAGAACAAAGCCTACACTAACAGGGCTTGTCATCCTGCAAGCGAAGCTCTTTGTTTCCTAATATTCCGGCAGCCCATGTGGGCCAATATGACTAGGTTCAGCGGCTTCCGTCAGACCCACCTTTCCTTACCGTACACCACCTCTGGGCTGGGTGATGGCACTGGCTTTTAGTGCCAGCTCTCAGGTCACATAAGTTACAGCCAAGCCACGCTCCCTCCTGTACGCTGCCTTGACTGACGGATGAAAGGGAGGGGGTTATGATGTGGACCTAAGAACAGGCTCTATTTAGTCCCAAACAGTGTTAAACTTCTGATAGAAAGATGCGACCTTTGACGGGAATCAGCCTGAAACACCCCCCTCCCCCCAACTTCTGCCCTGCTTAGGAGTTCCTTTATTTTTGTTTCCCCATGGTTTATTTGCAGACCTGTTCATTGCTCACGGCAACCGGGTGTCGAAGCCATAGGTACAGTGCAATATGTCTTGCTACTTTGGCTGACCTGAGGCAGCAGAAGATACTCATGTGCCTTGCACACTTTTTCCCAACATTCCTGGGGGCAACGGTGAGCTCTGCATGAAGGCGTGTAGACCTGAGTGCGACAACATCTAGCTGGAGATGGTGACGGAGGTCATATGTGAAAAGGACCAGTTTCTTCCATATATTAGAGGGAACTGTCTTCAGTGGTCAGGAAGTGGCGGGGGGCTCACCTTAGCCCTACTCTGATGGCTCTGCTTCTCCCAGGAGCTTCTCCCTGTCTATGATCCATCTTTATGCCCCTCCCTCTCACAGAATGAGAGATCATTTGTCTGTATCTGCAGGGTCTTCTGGACCACGCTAGCTGTGACAGGGCTACAGGGCCTCACCAGCCATGACCTGAGCAGTGTTGCCCCAGAACCCCTCCTGTCTCAGAGCCTCTATCTGGGAGTGCATGGGCAAATGGGGACAGCAGTTCTACCGTGGGGACCTGGCAGTATCAGTGCCATAGGGCGGGACAAGCAAGCTTCTTCCATCCTGGACTTTCTGGGCAAAAAAGTCTGGATGGTTGCCGAGTAGCCTCTGCTGCTGTCCTGGGTCTCTGTGCCCTTCCCTGGCACACAGACTGAGCTGGTATCTCAAGGCCTCTCTGCCCACTCTATTTGCCTGCTGCAGATTCCAGGGATATGGCTCTCCTTTTCTGTTACATATACATATTTCTGAATCTTACCTTCATTCAGATGCCAAACCCACAGCTTCTTTCTTCCCAGGACACCTTGATCTTGAAAAAAGATGGGCTTTTCAAAATCCCAGCAAAATTCTTCACAAACCCCGAAAGAACAATACTCAACTTCATATGGAAAAAGCAAAAAACCCAGGGTAGCCAAAACTATCCTGTACAATAAAGGAACTTCTGAAGGCATCACAATCACTGATTTCAAACTCTACTACAGAGCTACAGTACTGAAAACAGCCTGGTACTGGCATTAAAACAGACAAGAGGACCAATGGAACCGAATCAAAGGCCCAGATATCAATCCACACACCTACAAACACCTGATTTTTGACAAAGAAGCAAAAAGTATAAAATGATAAAAATAAAGCATATTCAACAAATGGTGCTGGCATAACTGGATATCAACATGTAGAAGAATAAAAATAGATCCATATCTATCCCATGCACAAAACTCAAGTCCAAATGAATCAAAGGCCTCAACATAAAGCCAACCACACTGAACCTCATAGAAGAGAAAGTGAGAAATACACTTGAATGCATTGACACAGAAGACTACTTCCTAAATATAACCCCAGCAGCACAGACACTGAGAGAATCAATTAATAATGGGCCCTCCTGAAGCTGAGAAGCTTCTGTAAAGCAAAGGACATGGTCAACAAGACAAAACGGCAGCCCACAGAATGGGAAAAGATCTTCACCAACCCCACATCAGACAGAGGTCTGATCTCCAAAATAGACAAAGAACTCAACAAATCGGTCATCAAAAGAACAAATAATCCAATAAAAAATGGAGTACAGACATAAACAGAGAACTCTCAACAGAGGAATCTAAAATGGCTGAAAGACACTTAAGGAAATGTTCAACATCCTTAACCATCAGAGAAATGCAAATCAAAACAACTCTGAGATTCCATCTTACATCTGTAAGAATAGCCAAGATCAAAAACACTGTTGACAAATCATGCTGGACAGGATGTGGGGTAAAGGGAACACTCCTCCATTAGCTGGTGGGAATGCAAACTGGTACAGCTGCTTTGGATTTCAGTATGGCGATTTCTCAGAAAATTAGGAAACAATCTTCCTCAAGACCCAGCAATACCACTTTTGGGTATATATCCAAAGGATGCTCAATTGTGCCACAAGGTCATGTGTTCAACTATGTTCACAGAAGCATTGTTTGTCATAGCCAGAACCTGGAAACAACCTAAATGCCCCTCCACCGAAGAATGAATAAGGAAAATGTGGTACATTTACACAGTGGAGTACTACACAGCAGAAAAAAAGGACATCTTGAATTTTACAGGAAAATGGATGGAT